AAGATACTCTTTCAAGTCACCTCCAGATATCAATTCCAGTACTATCATTATCTATGTACAACATTTAATAATTATTAAAGAGTACAATCATTAGTAATACTACAGACTCACAGGATGTCCAATGGTGACCACTCCATGTAGTTTAACAACATTAGGATGATGAAACTGACCCATAATGGCTGCCTCTTGTAGAAACTTTACTCTCTCATCCTCTGAAGTATTATCATTAAGTGTTTTAATAGCAACAGAGACTGATCCAGCAGTAGGTTTAGTCCATACTCCTTTATTAACTGTACCAAACTGTCCTGATCCTAAATAATCTGTTACTCTATTGGAGTGAGAATGTGTGCATATTCATGAAGCCATACATGTTATTGCTTTTCCTGTTACTGCTATGAATTCTCCCTCTCTCTATGATCACATACACACACACACACTCTCTCTCTTACTTTATTTGGTGTCTTATAATTTCTCTGTATTTCCTATCAGATAATTGTTGGTATATACCATCAGTATTACTATCAGGTTCCCAGTACTCAGTATCTTCTATAAAGAATCCATTACTCCCAGTATGATCAAGTCTTGAATATGCAGAGGAGTACTAAAAATAAAATAAAGTAAATATCTTCTGTATATATCATTTGTATGAAAACTATATCATATTGTATTTTGTACCTGATCATTCATCAATGTGGAGTAAATGTCTTGTTGCTGTTTTCCTTCACCCAAGCGTTCATTCTAAGTTTCCATTAGCACATTAAATTATTATCATTCATGATTACAGATAACATACTGCTGTGGGAACGGTGAGAGCTTCTCTTAATAAATTATAAGTTTCATTTTCAGTTTGACAGATAGTCTAAAAACAAAATGATTAAGACATCACTGTACACTGATTCTATTCCATTACTGGTTTTGGCTCTTCATATGGAAATGGATTCATACCTACAAACAAAGTAATAGTAATAGTATACTGAAATGAAATATGTTATTATTATTGTTATCATAAATTGATACAGTTAATCAAGTAGCAATAAAAGCTAATGTACTACACCGCTGCACCAATGCAGTGTAATTTGATCAATAGCTTTTCTTGTCATTGTAATACCTTGTGGTTGGTAGGTAGGATTAGACATGTTAATCAGTTCTGTCTCAGTTGAACATATATCCATTTGATAATTACCTCTTGATGTTAGCTTTTGGTGTCGTTTTTTATACACTAATACACTTACTATTAATATTACTAGTATAGTAACTACCAGTAATATAAATACTGTACTAATACTTCCTGCTATTATTAGTGTATTACTGCCTGTACTTTGTAATGTACTAACTGGTGTACCCATCACTGATGTAGTTCCTATTGTAAGACTATCATTAGTGATACTTGATGTTGATTCCATTGATTCTGTTGTTACAGCAGCTGTGGAGTAGAATCCATAGCTGCCTAATGAGGCAGGAAGAGTAATTATGTTTGTAGTAACTCACTCATGAAAGGAGTTAATGTACTACTAATTGTAGTGGTTATTCCTGGAGCTGTGCATGCAGTGGAGGTGTGTATTTGTAAATAGCATCATCATGATAGTGTAGTCTTACTTGTGGTACTGCTGGTACTTGTTGTGCAAGGTATCATTGTATCTGTTGTTAATGATGCTGGAACACTGACTGTATCAGAAGAGAACAAACACAGTTCATGTATATACTATTATAGTTCTTACCTACTACAACTGATATCAGTGGATAGTCATTATGTTCCAATGGTATTAATCCATTACTGCTATCAAGCTGATAATTCAATGGTCCATTGTATTGTTGATAATACATTGGATTACTATTAGTGGTTACATTGAATACTAATATATCTCCATACTGTACTTCAA